TGTTTGGATGACTGTGCTTTCTTGCACAATCCTTTCCTCTCATGCGTGTGCCATGCTGAGAGATGCTCTCTTCCCTTTCTGGCGTGTGCTACGTTGAGAGATGTTGTGTTTGAGACTCCAGGTGTTCTCAATAGTCGCTTTTGGTCTTCTCTGCGTGAGACGCAGTGAGAATTGTATAATTCTCTTACATTCTTTCTGCATGCAATGTGGTTTGATTCTTATTCGCTCGCTTAAACTGTTGCATGTTATGCTTCATTACAGCTCTCTTTGCATGATCATAAGTTATGTTTGGCATCATGCATGTCCTTTGCATCTTTCCCTTGCCTGCGGGCGCACATCCCTTTGTTATCTTGTATGCTTGTCTAAGTCTTCGACCTTGTCAAAAATGGGTCCTCTCTGGGCTTTGACATTCACTCCCGTCATCTTATGACTTTCGAGTTCTGTCAAAGAGGGGCAACTGTAGACACGATGACAAAGACAACGATAACTTTATTATAATATCATCGATATATTTTTCCTTGACGGTAACAATATTTGTATCTCGGATCACTGTATTACATGGGTTTGCGTGAACAACAGCAGCTGAGACTTGACTAAAAGGCTGATCAGAACTTAATTGTGGTATTTGTTGATGATCAACACCCGGAGAAGATTCACTAGGTTGAGAGCAACCAACCATATTCTTGCATGGTGGCCACCTCGGTATACCATAATCTCTACAAACATGCTTCAGTGTACCACTTACTAAATCCAGTTGTGCCATCTCTTCTCCACTTTGTAAGGGCTCCAACCTAGGCAGAAATTTAGTAATTCGGGACATTTGAATAGAATAAAGTTTCTCACCATTTTGAAAAGAAATTTCGTCAATACATAAATGTTCCCCAACTTCTTCTCCAGAAGCAAGCTTGAAAGTACGAAAATTTTTCTTCATCGTTTCCAATATTTTCCTCAATGCAGTCTGTTGATTACCATTCTTATTGTTGCTTGGCGGCATAAAGCACTCTAACACGTAAATGTCATTTCTGATTATACTACTTTGCAAGCATATAGTGAAACAACAACCTAATTTATGATATCGTGCATAGTGTGCGAATGGGTAGTCAATTATGCTAAGTTGGGTTATATCCTTGCAAAATAATACATTAGGGGACGAGAATGCTCTCCCAACAACTCCTTGACCCTTTCTTAAGTGTTGTGCATTACTGGCCAAATTGAAGTCCTCATCATCTTTATTAACATGGCAAATCACATGGAAGAAGTCACTCTTACCCAGAGCCCAGCATGCGTAGTTTACCCTGCACCGGGCCCATACTTGAGCAAAATCTAAACCATGAACTTCACACACAACTTCCAACACCTTGCTGATTTCATATAAGGCATCACTTTGTCTCACATTCTGATTGAAAAGTATTGTCACGTCCAAGTATTGTCAGAAGATATTCCTCATCATATTAATTTAAAAAATAAAATAAAATACCAAATTTTGAGATTACATTACAGTGTACCACTTACTCTTTCCTTGACATGGTCTGCATGTGAAATTGAAGATTCCAGACCTACCTCCTGCAGGGGGATGGAAAGATGCAACTAAGGAATCTTTGTACACTTTGAAATGTAGAATATTTGTTTGCCAAGAAAAGGAAGCATATAAGAGACTCTATAATGGAAAAACAATTCAGTCACAGCTAAATGAGCACGGAATGCAATAAGAAAATATAACTTGACGTTTTGCTTTGCTTTCTTTCTTTCTACCACATAAGCTCACGCTGATAAGATAAACAACGCACTATCTTATCCTCAAATCAATAGTTCATTCATTGTATCTTTTTGGATCTTATAGTTTTAATCATAACAATTTACCATTTAATTTTACATTTTGTGTCACATTGATATTGATAACAACCGTGAGGAAATATCGTAGTTACATACTCCTCACATGCCATTCGGCACTGACAAGATGAAAAAAAAGAACAAATAACAGTTGTGCTAATGGTCCATCTAACTTCATGCTGTATTAATAGTTTTAGTCCGATTAATATCAATTTCAAAAGATTAGTGCTTTGATTTCTGTAATTTGTGTTTATTGGTCTAAAAAACTATGAATTTTATGCAGAATAGACACATGAGAAGTACGTAGCCATGTTGCATTATAATAGGATCAAATATGCACAAACTAAAAAAATTAAAGGAAAAAAATTGTTGGTCTAAGGGATTAGTTGGTCTAATGGGCTAGATATCACACAACAGTTGATGATTTATTAATAAAAAGAGTCTTTTGTTATACAATTAGAAACTTGATTAGACGTGATGTACTTTCCACAATTGCAGGGGACAATATGTATTTTAAACAAACTAGATTTTTGTAATTTACCCTATTGAAAACACACTTCTCATCTTTTCTTTTCTTTTTTTTTGATAATTTTTTTTTCTTTTAAATTTAAATTATCAAAGGAGCACAATTCTGAATACATGTAAGAAAGGAGAGAGGGGAGTTAATCAATCAAAGATTAGAAAGACATAAAAAAATGCCAATTTGTGAGTTGGGGGACTAACCTTAAGCATAAGCAGCCAATCATAGTAGTCGTACAATACAAATTCCTTTGAGGGTTGAAACTGTCTCAAGTACACCAACACATAAGTGGGTAGAAGGATCAAACAGTGGGATAGCCCAAGATAGTTTAAGTTGGCAACGTAAAGCATGGTCGAGCAATGGATATTCTTTAATAGAGTAATATTCTATATTGGGAGTGCATTCGGGAAATCCATGGTTGAACACACGACCAGGAACCCCAAGTTGTTCATCAGAACTCTCTCTATCCATGTAAAATTTATAGTGCTTAGAGATCATCCTATACCCACAAAGTCCTTTAACAGGTCCTTGAACAGCATCATCATCAAATATAGAAAAAGCGAAAGGTTGGTTTTGAGTTGTAAGATAAGACCGACCCTCCATTGTCATTGTGGGTGCCCAAAATTGAAATAGTGTTCGATATCAAAACCAATAGGGTAAACACCTCCGAAGGACATCTTTGATCTTGTCTTTGAAATTGAAAATATCTGATTAATAATAACAATAAAAAAAAACAAAATTGGAGGAGAGAAGTGAGATTTGAAAAGCACGTAGTAGGTAACTGTGTCGATTTAAAATTGACTTATAAATTAAACTCCATTATTACAAATTAAATAAATAAAACCCATATTCAAAGGAGGAGGAAGAAGAAGAAGAAGAGAAGAGACATAAAAGTCCCACTCACTCGGAGGATGTTCGGATTGGTCGTCTTCTCGGCTCCAGAAAACCCATCCACAAAATCTATTATAATAATCATCATCCACCACACAGCATCATCATCAAATATAGAAAAAGCGAAAGGTTGGTTTTGAGTTGTAAGATAAGACCGACCCTCCATTTCATTGTGGGTGCCCAAAATTGAAATAGTGTTCGATATCGAAACCAATAGGGTAAACACCTCCGAAGGACATCTTTGATCTTGTCTTTGAAATTGAAAATATCTGATTAATAATAACAATAAAAAAAAACAAAATTGGAGGAGAGAAGTGAGATTTGAAAAGCACGTAGTAGGTAACTGTGTCGATTTAAAATTGACTTATAAATTAAACTCCATTATTACAAATTAAATAAATAAAACCCATATTCAAAGGAGGAGGAAGAAGAAGAAGAAGAGAAGAGACATAAAAGTCCCACTCACTTGAAGGATGTTCGGATTGGTTGTCTTTTCGGCTCCAAAAAACCCATCCACAGAAGTTACCTTTACCATCATACACCACTGGGCAACAGTTGAGTTGAGTGTCCACATATTGCTTGAAATCGTCAGGGAAATATGCTGCTACGGTTCCTTCTTCATCGCTACTTGCTTCAAAAGGGATATCAAAAGGAGGGCTATATCCATCAGATTCGGCCATTTTCTGAGATCTAAGCGCATGCTATGCACTGTGAATGATTTAGGGATTTGAAGGTGTAGTGTGTGAAAGAAGCCTATTTGGTGGCGGTGTGTATATATTATGAGTTAGGATTATTTATAGTTAAAATATTAGTGTGTAAAATGAGAATAATAGTATATAATTAAATTTATAAATGTGTTAACTGATATATAATATAATTTATAAATGTGTTAATTGACATATAATATATATAAAAAATTAAGGAAAAATTACCCATAAATCTTATCTACAGATAAGTTAAACCATTTAGTCATTTAATTTTTTTTTTGTATACCATTTTGTCCTATTTTGTTGGCAGATTTTTTGGGGTATGATTTGATTCCATTTATTTTTACATCTATACCCTTTCCATGTTTGTTTCCATTAACATTCAACTACTTCCGTAATGTAAACCTGTTGTGGGGAATTCATTACCATTGTTTTCATTGTTTTTGGGGAGTCAGAATACGGTGAGTTCCATTTTCACTGGTCAATACCGTTTGCATGATTACTCCCTTAAACATTTGATTATGTTTTGTATTGGGTTAGGTAATGTTTATGTAATCTGATTACTCTCTTAATTTATTAACATTGTTTTTCACCATTTCTGTAATCTGACCGAAACCAGTGACCACCCTATTGATTGATGGGCATTTTTTCCTCTGTTTTTTTAATTGATTAACATTGTCTCGTTATTTGATTAACATTGTTTTTCATCATTTATAATTGATTACCATTGTTTTCCTTCATTAACATTGTGTTCACCATTGGTTTTTGGAGACAGAAAACGGTGAGTTTTTTTTGGTTGGCAACCGTTTTTCTCACAACGTAACTGTACACTGGAGGGTGTTGTGTTTCTGCGTTTAAACTGCTGTGGGTAAGATTTTCAAACAAGTCTGTGCTTGTTTATTTTATTTTATTTCCCCCCCTCCCATGTCTGTCATCTATTAGTGGGATGGCTTCGTTTAATTACACCATTTTCATGGATAGAAATAGTGTTTTTGTTATGTTTTTCCTGGGCATGTTGCCATTGTAATGGGTTCAACAAATGTGTCGTAGGTATGGACGGAGGGATATTGTTGGTGTGTTCGTATGGTTTAGTCAATGTTCTTATTCGATTGAATCAGGATTCGTCATTTGTACAGATTGTTGATGATATTTGTAGGAAGTTTGATGGATTGATACCAGGTGCGGTGTGTTTGGTGTTCGATGTTCCCGGGTACAAGAAGTTTAAGGTGGATAGTGACGACGATATTCAAAACATGTTGTGCCTTGCTATGTCATTTGGAATAAATCACATTGAGGTCCTCATTCAGGAAGTAGTGTTGGTGCGAGGGTTAATTATGATGTGGTGGATTCCACAGAGGATGGGGTACTTTCCGGAGATGCTAGTTGGAATGGTTGCGTGGATGACCAAATGGACTTATTACCAACATACTGTCCGAACAGATCAAAGACATTTTTGTCGGCGCAATGGGCATATGGGATTACCCATGTGGGACAATGTTTTAATGGTAGAGCAACTGAATTCCGTGAAGTTCTATGTAAGTATGCCGTTGAATGTGGATTTCAATTCAAGTACATTAAAAATGATTCCATTCGAATTATAGTAGTGTGTAAGTTTGCGGTGTCAACAGATTGTTTGTGGTCAATTCATGCGAGGATGTTGCCGTCAACTGGGGTGTTATGTATTAAGAGGTTCGATAGTGTGCATACTTGTGGTGCTGCTGTACGTACTTGTAGGAACCCTCGTACGGGGTCTGATTTGGTGTCTGCTGTTGTTGCGGATCGAGTGCGCGATCAGCCATTGACGCGTCCTACCGATGTTGTACTTGACTTGAAAAACGAGTATGGTTTGGACATTAGTTACCGGGTGCCATGGTTGGGTGTTGAGAAAGCGAGGGGCGAAGTGTACGGGGATCACGCTACGTCTTTCGATCAACTCAGGTGGAATAGCGATTTCGTTATGCAAAAAAACCCAAACAGTTACATTAACCTTGAGTTTGACCAAAAAACCGGGAGGTTTGTTAGGTATTTTATATCATTTCGCGCTGGTATAGATGGGTTCAATCATTGTCGACCTTTGTTGGTTTTGGATGGAACGTTTTTGAAAGGCAGGTTCAAAGGTAATTTGCTTGCGGCTACTGCTAAAGACGCCAACCAAGGTAATGGTTTCATTTTGCTTTCATTTGCAAAGTTAATGGTAATTTGCTTTCATTTCTCAAAATGTGTCATAATTATTTTGTGTGGAAGTTGTACAACTTTACTCATGGCAAACTATTTATGTTGTATGTTTGGTCGTAGGATTGTTTCCGGTAGCCTTTGATATTGTTGATTCCGAGAATTCATCCAATTGGGAATGGTTTCTTCGTAATTTGAAAGAAGTTGTTGGGGGCGGGCGGACATTGACTTTCGTATCTGACCGTCACGTCGGATTAATACACTCTATAGCAATCATTTTCCTTTCGGCGCATCATGCATTTTGTTTGTTGCAACTCCAAATGAACTTGCGAGATCAAATGAAATATGTTAATGCATCGCATAAAATTGGGTTGATGCGCAAGTTGCGAGAATGTGCCTACGCGCCCACTGTTACTTGCTTTAATGAGAAATTGAAGGTATTGAAGAAGTCCAACCCAGCTGTGATTGAAGATTTTCTTAAAGACTTGCACCCAAAACACTGGTCTAATGCGTATTTCAGGTACTTCACAATCCGCTTAATGGGTTATGGTGTATTGTTAATTCTCGCATGTTTTTTTTTTATAATATGTTGTCGTTATAATTTATGCTCTCCGTAAACGTTTACTTTGGCCATTTTTTTAGTGGCCGACGGTACGGGGAGATGTGCTCAAACGCTGCCGAATCTTTCAACAACTGGGTCGGCCAGGCCCGTCATCTTCCCATTACTAGATTGGTTGATATGATAAGGGGTCAAATCATGGAGCAGATGTCGAAGCGCAGAGTTAAATGCACTAAATGGGCCGGTGTAATATGATCGAAGATGGAGAAAAAATTGGTGGCAGCGTATAACGACAACAGGGCATGGTGTGTGAGTCAGGCTAACGATGATGTGTACGAGGTTCACTCCCACCCATCGGTGTTGGTTGATGTCGTCAAGCAGACATGTTCCTGTTTTCAGTGGCAGATTAATGGGTTCTCGTGTTCCCATGCTGTCGTTGCATTCCGTAATAGTGGGAGAAACATTTATGATTCAATAGACTCTGCATTCTACATCGAGACATTTCGAGCTACTTATAGCGGAACTATATACCCCATTCCAACAGTGTGGAGGCCGACGTTTAACCCGAACAAATATTTGATAGCACCATCGACAGTCAAGCGTCCTCCCGATAGGCCCAAACGGAAGAGAATTCCGTCTAAGGGCGAGGTAGTGCAACGTATACGTTGCGGGCGTTGCAGAAAATTGGGCAATCACAATAGGAAGACATGCAAAGAGCTGTTACAAACGGTTTGCCATATGGTTTAATTTTTTTCGCCGACAACTTGGGGTTCAGTTGGACTACCGTATTTTGTTTTCCAAACTGTTTTTCACATTGTTTTGTAATCAGTCATTTACTTTTTTTAATGGGTTTATTCAAATTGGTAGAATATACACTTCTCTCTAACCCAGCTACCATTTCGGTGGCCACTGTTGAACAATCACACACAGCACCTTTTAACACCCACCCACCGTGGTCATTACATTATGACATCACTTTCATGTTGTTATAGCGTAACAGTAATGGGTGTTGTTTGTTTTCATATCTGTGCACATCATACCAAACAGTCACCCAAAACCCACTGTTCTAAATAATCAGAAGGCAATTGGTTTTTTATGTTTGGGTGTATTTTTGCAATTCAGTGTACATCTTACACTATATGCACCATAAACCCACTGTTTCAAAAAATTCTAATGCAATGTAATATTATGTTTACAATGAAATGTTGTCTCTACAATTATAATTAAAATGGAATTGGCCAATTATGCTATTGCCATGGCATATTAACCACGTTACCGATGTACGCATGTCAACTTACGTAGAGATAAAACTGCGCTTATTCCCATTGTGGCAAAACAGGTTTTCCAAACTCATTGTCAGCATGTAAACTCCTGTGTAGATCATACTATATATATATGCCAAGGACCGTCTTTCATTAAGAAACAACGTCATGCCTATGCATATGAAAACCTAAACATACAGTTAACATTTTGAAGGACATTACCATCACATCTCCACCATACGATAACAAAAGGACGATGCCATACTAGTAGCCGTGTAAGAATTACTTTTTTCGCACGTAAGGTTCAAAGCTGATAATATGGAATCCAACAAACTATTTGAATTGCCTACCAAATAGTATTAACATTTTTGTCCACCAAAAAAACCAATTCTAACCAACGCTTAATGCGTTGGTGCACCATTCCCCCTGATAATAAAGTAACATAGGACAACTGCCCAATTTAAAATTTCCCTCCTAACATTCTGTTCTACCAGAACAACAAAACATTTATGTACGTCCATTAAACCCAAAAAAAACACATCGTAACCACGTTCTTTGCACCTTCTAGAATGAGCAACGTGAACACCTCTTACAATGTCCTACCACGGAGTCCTTTGCCCGGGTCACTCAAGAACATGTCCACCATCGCAGCTCGTAGCCCAGTTGGTGTGAGACCGTCCATCGTAGTATCAACTTCTACCCCACGAATGAACTGCCTGATGATAAAGCATGCAAAAATTCCGCAATCCGACCTGCACTCACAAAAACCGATTCCAACGTCACTTACACAGCACATCAGCAAAATAGTTAACTCAGTCTAATATAGCAACTACTTATGACTCTGGGACTTGTTGTGGACAATCCATAATAGATACAAAAGTGCCATCGAAAAGGTCTGCCCCATTCCCATCAGCTGTAACTCTTGGTTTCACAAACTTGTTGTGATGGTCAGCCACCCATTGTTTCTGTTGATTTCTCACATGTTAGTTTACATACGTATTGGGTAACATTGAAACCAAGAAAAATTACAATTCGTCAACCATGCACATTCAGATCTCAATCTGTTAAACTACCATCGCACCACCACTACAAATCCACAAAAAATCATATACAAACTACTAGTTGTATTGCTGTACTTACAACTTTGAGAGCCTCATTGTAATGCTCATCACGCACTCCACGTCTTGGCCTCATGGAGTTGTAATGTTTCCAATTCCCATTGTGTGAATTGTGTGCCATGACTGTCCAATGATTGGCATTGTAGATCGGGAATAGTGTGTATCTGCAACCTTGCGCAGCCTTTATGTGTACGTTCAAGTACTTCGTTCATGACATTACGCTGTTGTTCCGCATCATATCCTGCACAATTTGCCAAAGCCACCAAAGTCGTGTTAGATTTCATTGCAACAAATATTTTTTTCAGATTTCGTGCACACAAACGCACGTAGTGGTACATACCGAACACACACTAGTGTAAACGTATGTCGTGCCCACATATTCTGGTCTTCCACACACCGTCTTATGCATTTCAGTCAACGTAGCAGCGTATGCATTGATTACCAACAGCATATGTTACCCATTACAATTTCAGTGCACTATTAATAACATTTTGTAAATTAATGTCCAGTATGTGCTACTACCATTTTCGCACCATCAAGTAAGAGTGCATGCATTTACATATTCGTAATGGCGTGTTATTTAATTCATCTGTCATTTCGTCACAGCCAAATCAACCACGATATGAACGACACAATGTTTACATGTCCATGTGGGGTTTTTCGTAGGGAGTTAAATAAATAAATAAAGGGCAAATTATACGACACCAGCTTACATTCCCATGAATGGAGTTCTGTTGCACTAGGTCTTTGATGTTTGTGAAATGCACTTGTATTCCATTGTGTCCATCGTCCCACACTATTAACCTACACATAATAAACCAAAGTTAAGAACAACCATAAAACAGCAATTACAACTTCTACATGTCAAAAAATACAACATTCCATACAAACTACCTACCCATCCCCCTCTAAACTGTACATTCTCTCTAGTAGTTGCCTATCTTCATCCTTCCACATGTTCCACACAGTGTGCCTTCTGTGCCTACCAAAACCATGCCAGGTTTTACGCTCCACTTCAACGTCCTCAACATTGTAAATCACCCCGGGCTCATACGATTTACCTAGTCTCACATTCGTACTTACTTGTTGTCACTCAAATATGGCAAGATATTCGTAGTCAGACAACCTAAATTCTCGTCTTGGTTTGGTCTTCACCCGTTTGACCAACAACGTCATTTTTGGTCCAGAACTTGCTGCAGCATTTGTGTCTTCAGAACCAGCTCCCATGCCAACCACAGTTGCGCCAACATTTACATTTCCATCTAATGCTAGCTGCTCATTTTGGGGATTGCAGCTACCCTCCACCCCTGCCACAGTCGGACACACATTCCCATGGGCAAAGTCATCCGTCAAATCTTCAATCCCAGCTTCGTGCTCAGCAATCTCTAATTCGGTGGTGTCAACGTCTTTGGCTTGGCCTATAGGACACGCAGAGTGCTGTGTACTTTCGACACTCGTGACGTGGCCAGAACCACTCACTTTCCTAAAAGACTGTTGCTCGGTGTTCACTGATTTGATCCATCATTGACAACACATTGCGTGACCTCGTGCACCTCAAAATCATCAAGACTATCCTGCATATTGCTTATTTTGGACTCCAATTGATCAACCACCTTACTGAGTCGATCAATTTCAAAATCCTTTTCGACAATCACACTATTTAAGTCTACAAACAAATTACCAGCCTGCCTCCCGAGCAGTTGCTCCATTGTTTCGACACGCTGCTCCAGTTCACGCACCCGTGCGTCTTTACTCTTGATTTCACTCTCCAACTCAGCAATTCTGGCATTACAAGATCTCAACTCATCATTCACCCCCCCTTGTTCTTCACCCATGGCTTCACCATCCGGAGTGCTGGCTAGGTCTAGAAGATCCGGGAACAATACCGGCCACACTTCCCCACCTGACACTATCTTCCCACCCACTTTTACCTTGCTGGTTGGTGTACCAGTATTCTTATTCTCATAATCATCTCCACCTTTCATTTTGATGTTACCAGCATTTGGTGTCTCCAATTGCCAACAATTGGAACTAGGCTCCACGCTGCCCACATCATCTGTCTCAGCAGTAGCCCCACGCCCATCACACACTTCAGCGGCATCCACATCCATCCTACTTCTACCACTCTCGTTCGGCTCATTCCCAGCAGCAGGCAGTTTAAGAATATGACACTCACTAATTGTCCCAACAAGTTTCCCACACTGCACCTGCAGATACAGAAAATTTTTAAAAAATCAACTTTAGTGTATGCATTGGGAAAAGAAATTAGAAAAATGGAAATGATTTTAATCCATACCTTAATGCAACCTTCTTTCGTCAAATTTATTACTCTCAACTTCGCCACAGCTGCTGCAAGGTTCCAGCGACAAAACCTTAGAGTCACGTTAGGCCGTTCCGGGGTGATGATGTTCGAATGTTCACAAATTAGAAACTGAAATCATAACATAAAACAACCATCAAATATACACGCAACTTTGTCAAACTTTTATTTCATTTTTTCATTCAATCATGTATGCGATTGGCACGTTCATATTATACATACTAGCAATGATACGACACAACCAGTCACTTTCTTTGGCCTGTTGTACATCTCATTTAGCGAGCCAATCAACGTGTTCCTTATCGTTGTAGTCCAGTCATACTGTCGTAACGTGTCGAGCTTGTCGATCACACGAACAAACGCCCAACCTATATGCTCTTCGGTGGCTGCGAAAAACAACTTTGCACAAACATAAAGACACAGCAACTTCGCCACGTCTTCTTCGTCACGCTCGGTACAACCACAGATTGCTTCTGCCAGCAAATCCTTTATAACTTTTGAAGATATCCGAGTAACATTCGGACAACGTCTTTGCATGAAATCGGAGGGCCCTTTGCCACCTTGTGCCAAATCCAAGTTCTCTTTCCCACACTATACCCCAAATATCAACCTGATATCATTATTCCTCAATGGTAACTTAGCTCCAGCAACGTGGAACTTCTCATATTTGGGGTTGTATGATTGAATAATGCGACAAACCGTTGCATCACACTTCTTGAACGCTTTCGGATCAAGCTCGTGAACAAGAATATCAACCTGAAATCGGACAACATCTTTGCATGAAATCGGAGGGCCCTTTGCCACCTTGTGCCAAATCCAAGTTCTCATTCCCACACTATACCCCAAATATCAACCTGATATCGTTATTCCTCAATGGTAGCTTAGCTCCAGCAACGTGGAACTTCTCATATTTGGGGTTGTATGATTGAATAATGCGACAGACCGTTGCATCACACTTCTTGAACGCTTTTGGATCAAGCTCGTGAACACGAATAGCATCAATCATAACCCAAAACGGGGTTTTCTGCAACTGTCTAATGTGTCCCT